GAAGGATCTGCCAGTAGCGGAAGACCTCCAGCGTTGTCAAACTACGTACCGAGCCGTCCTCGCTGTGCGTGCTGGCTCGGCCTGTCATCGCCCTTCTCAGGAGGGCGCCCATCGCGCTCTGGAGCATCTGGCACTCGTTGGGCGTGGGCAAGTAGCACTCGATGCACGAAAGCACCGTGTTGATGACCCTGCCTATGCGGACCGCGCGCTTCCACTTGTAGGGCATCTCTCGCTTGGTCCAGAACCTGCCGCACTCGTAGTAGCTCTTCTTCATGGCCTGGATGCGCTTCTGCAACTCTGGGCAGTAGCTCTGCGTCGATGTTACTTGAGGGCCCAGGTACCGAGCCACCGCCACCACGTTGCCTGGAAGTTTGCATTGCGGGCCCTTCTTGATTCGTTGATGCGCCTGGCTGGCGCCTTCTCCCTGAAAGTGTACTATCGTATCCTGCTTATCTTGGTTTTGCTTCAGGCCGATCTCGCTAAAGCGTCTGTTCAGCGTGTCGTCTATCTTGTGAGCCTGGTCGGCGAGCAGTTTGAGATCGGCCTGTTCCCCGTTCAAGATGATCTTGCGCATGTCGCCCGCGTACTTCGTCAGCCCCACGTATACTGGATGTTGGAACAGTTCCCTTCTTCCATACAGTAACCCGTCGTACTCTATCTCGTCGTTGCAGTCCTTGGTCCACCTCTGGATGCAAGGGGCGAAGCTGGCTACGAAGTTGCGCACCATGTAGGCGTCGCCGATGAGGCCGCCGCAGTGGGGTTTGATGCATATTCCCTGCGTGTCGTCCATGCAATCAATGTTGAACGTCGCCCTGCGGTATCGTTGTTCTCCGAGGCCCCAGAGGTCCTGCGGCATGATGTTGCTGTTGGCCGTGCCCATGGTAAGCCACTTGCAGCTGGCGAACGCGTTGGGCATGTCCTTCATGGTGGACGCGTAATTGTAGCCTGCGTTGCGAGCCCTGTACTCGATGACTGACATGGTGAGGATGGCTCCTTCTCGTCGTCGCCCCTTGATGAACCCGTAGTCCTGGTCCGTGTGGGTCTGTTGTCGATGCCTCCTGAGTCCCGCAGCGTAGTATGCCTTGCCGATGGGGTCCATGATGTGGTAGATTCGCTTGCCTGCTGGTCCTTTCTTCGTGTTCTTCTTGACCGCCGTCGCCGTGCTTTGATGCCGTCGAACTGGCGCCGCGTTGCTGATGCGTATCGCGGCCAAGGCCGCCTTCAATAATGCTTGAAATTGCTCGGGTTCTCCATCTCCCTCTTGACGTCCGAGGCCGTGTCGCTGTCGTGGTTGGTGTTCCGCCCTCGGTGGGCGAAGTAGTAGTCGCCATATCTCCGCTGGTGCCGCCGTTGGTGGTGCTGCTCGTCGTAGGCGTGCTCGTTTGAGGCTTTTGGCAATCTCGTTGTAGTCTTCCTCTATCTTTTCCTCCAAAACATCCTCGTCGTAGTCCTTCTCCTCGGCGTTGTGCGGGATGGCCTCCAGGTGCTGCGTGTCCTGATCGGTGCCTTCCATGCCGCCAGAGCCACCTGGTAGTTGCCAAAAATCGAGCCATTCCTGCTTCGTGGGGTTCGCAGCCGTAGCCGTCCAGAAATCCCTCTTGCGTGGTCCGTATCTTCCTCCCGCGATCAGTCGTGATAGTCTTCCAACTCTTGCCAAATCCCTTTCCTCCCACGCCTCGTATAGTTCCTCGACTCGTTGCTCTGTGCGTAGTTGCTGTGCGTGTCGTCGTTGTCGTTGGCATGTCTTCGTGATGTCCTGCAATTTTGTTTTCTATCTCGCGCATGCGCTGCTCGGTCTCCGTGATCGGTTGTTCGTATGTGGCGTATGGGTTGCCTTCCATCTCTGTCTCTTCCTGGGTCCTGGGTGGGTCGGCGACCGTCCGTGGAGGGCCCCTGGATTCGAGCACGTCCGCGCAAAACGGGGGAGGCGACGATTCGGGAGCTGGCGCACGGCGTACGTTTAGCCTCGTGATGAGCGGCGTGTAATTCGTGAAGTACTGAACGGGCTGCTCTGCGTTGTCTTAGTGGCTGCATGCGCTCGTTGCGGAGCCTCTCGTAGTCATCGGTCGGTTTCGGCGCCTGGCTGTAGTACTGCTGGGCTGTCTCTACGAGGATGGTATTGATGTCCGTGAAAAGCTGATCGACTCCCTTCGCTGGGTCGTAGTCCTGTATCCGTTGCTCTACCTTCTTGATGTATTCTCCTCTGTGCAGTCCGTGTCGTACTGCGAGTGCGAGGCTGTCCTTGTCCCACCTCGGTGGCTGAGGTCGCTGCCGTACTTGTTGCCGTAGAGGAAGTCGAAAGGTCACCTGCACTGGAACGTGGTCTCGTCTAGAGCGGCAGCGTATGCGTTGTAAACGCGTTCCCATGCTGAGCAAGGGTCCTTGAGATATCATTGTCTCGGTCATGCTCCTCGGTATCATGATGTAGTCGATGCAGCTCGCGTTCTTCTCTCCGAAATATGTGGGACGCCATTGCCCGAGTGTGTTCACCACGCTGAGGTCGTAGCGGTCGGCGTAGACGCGAGCCTTCTGTCCAGCGCCGCCTGGTAGTCGTTCGGGCGATCTGCCTTCTCCGAGTGCTGGTGTATCTGGTCGTCCTCCTTTCTGTGTGATGCCGATGCCGTCATTGAGGTCGCCCGCCACGATGAGTATCGTGTGCCTATGCTTCCGTTTGCTGGCTTCTTCTATCCAATTGAACAATCTGCTCGTCGTGGCGTAGTACTCCTTCCTGGTCGTCTTGCCCTTGTTGGGCTGCGGCGGACTGTAGTATCCTATGATCAGCAGCGTCTGGTCGTGGTGCTGCAGGGTGATCGCGAGGCCTCTTCCACTGAGCTCGGGCGTCGGTTCCTGGATGTCAATCACCTTTGCCCCTCGCAGTCGTCCCTGCAGCGCGATGATGATGCCCGTGCTGCGGTTGGTCAGTTCTCCTGGTTGCCAGCCCGCGTCGTAGTAGCGTGTGTTGTCGCAGCGGTGCTGCGTGATGACTGGGTCACGTCGTCTGCGTGATGTCCCCACTAGCACGATGATGTCAAAATTGTTGGCCTCCTCGTATATTTCCGCGAGCCTGTCGGGCTTTGCCGAGGGTGGGTCGAAGAGGAGCACAGCGAGAGAAACTGCAAGTGCCGCCATCATGCGGGCCGCCGCCCCTTCTGTCTGCTCGGTCCGAGGAACGGCATGGTGGCGGTCTGGGCTGCCCTGACGATATCTTAGGCCCAGATGGCAGCTAGAGGAGGAGGAGGAGGAGGAGGAGGAGGAGGAGGAGGAGGAGGAGGAGGAGGAGGAGGAGGAGGAGGAGGAGGAGGAGGAGGAGGGGCGGCTGCTCAGAGGGAGGCTGCCTCTGAGAAGGCGCGGGCCTCACATCTGGAGACAGGGCCCGCGCCTTCTGAGAGGCCGGGGTGCGTCTAAGAAGCCTTCCCCCCTGCCCCTCCACCCCCCTCCGCGCGTGGCCGATGTGCACGGCGGGTCGGCGGGTGGGGGACGCCGATCTCATACCCAGATCTCCGACGACCTGGGTTCTGCAATCCTGGGGTTCTTCCTTCATGTCGGCCTCGTCATCGGGCCCTGGGACGGTGAAGCACGGGCCCGGGACGACAAAAAGGCCACGGGGGGAGGGTCGGGGGCGCGCAAGCACGGATTAGCGATCCGTGGATTTGGCGCGCGGTCGCCAAATCCATGGATCGGCGGAGGTGCCCTCCCCAAGATGCGGCCGGTGCCGCCTCGCTCGGCGGCGGAAGTCCGCGAGTTCCCATGGAAGCGGGACCCGTCGCTAAGCCACGCTCCCTGAATCTATGTTTGCGATCGCCTGAGAGGGGTCGGGAGCTCTAGGGTTATGTCGGGCGTGTCCCCCTACAGGAGGATTTTCGACGAAAAATAAAAAATACCCCAAACATACCCCCAAAAGGTCAAACAATACTCAAAAGATAGTCCCCAGACTATGTTTGGACTATTTTTTGCATATTTTGGGGGCCCGACTTAACTCTGGGGCCGCGGATTGAAAAGGCCACCTCGGCAGACGTCGGGGGTCTTCCCTCGCCTCGGGGGTGGTGTCTTTTTCAGCGGCTGCGCCCCGCCTCAAAAAAAAAAACCTGCCTCGGGCGGGCAAAAGCCGGCCCCAGGTGAGTCGGTCCGGACCTCTCGGGCAGCGCGCGGCGAACATGAACCAGCCTCGAACGTATCCCTATCCCTGAGATTGACACGCCAAAAGGCGATGACAATCTTAGGGGTTCGCCCTCAAAAAATAAGGGAATCCCTAAGATTGGCAACGTGATGAGGAAATGCCCAGCATAGGGATAGGGATATGTTCCAGGCTGGTAAAAAGTGGCACGACGTCGGATGTCTGAGAGCATGAGCCCGCGGAGCTCCGCTCCGACTCCTCGGATCGGCGCTGGGCTCCTCTTCCCTGGCGCGCGGGGCGCAGCAAGGGGGCGGCGCTGGAGGCGCCGCGAGGGTAGCCCAGCGCCGACCGAAGAAGGCGGCGCGGAGCCCCGGCAGTTTAGGCTCCCTGACTTTATCGGAGGGCAAGAAAATAGCATCGGGACATCCGCATCTAAGGTCAAATCAAATCTTTTGGGAGTGCCAGAAGCCTGCCGAGACAGGCCGTGCGGTGGCCTCAAAATCCCCAGAGATCTCACCGCACTGTCCGTCACAGAACGACCCGAGTCCCAGAAACCGCGCGGTCACCCCGAGTCCACACCGACTAACCACACGGCATGGTCACCACACCGGCTGCACCCCCCCGATTCTGGACCTGTCCACGCACGTCTATAAGGTGAACGTTTTCTCCTTCGGCGTTTCGACATTTGGCGAAAGGGGGGGGAGAGAGGGGGTCTGGCTCCAGACCTCTGCTTAGTGCGACTGATTGCAGCAGTGCGTCCCATGGGGGAGACTCCACCTGCTCGAAACAGGCTTAAAACAGCCGAGAGCTACTCCATGGGGGGGGACAGGGGGTGCGAGGGCCCGCGCCGAAGTCCAAGGCCCGCGCAACTGTTTTCCCTTCCAGCCTCAGCCACTGCGCAGCCGCCTCCCGCAGCGCGGAGCCCCTCGAGCCCGCGCCAGCGCCAGCGGCGACCCCGGACAGGAGGTCCTGTAGGACGAGAGTGATGGATCCGGTTGACCCAGGACACGTTGGGAGCTTGACTATAGTATTCGGCCTGACCTAAGGAACGATCAATAAGGAACGAAGCCCCCTGTTTCCCAAGTAAGTCTAGGAAGTCCGAAGGAACACCAGGGGGGCTCGCCGCCAAAAAGGTAGCGGAACGCATGCAAACCACAGGAATGACCGAGCCCCTTTCGAAAAGTAAGTGTTCCTTATTCAAGCCGGACCCTGTACTTACCAGACCAACCCAACCCAACCCGAAGACCCGAAAATCGGGTTGGGGGGGTACAGGCGTCATGTGTGTGTTTCCCATATTCCCTGCCCCCCCCCCCCCACTGGGGGGGATGGGCGGCAACTTGGGGCCTTCGTGCGGGGTTGGGGTGGTTGAGTGGGTGGTGACTCTTGGGACAGGAATCAACCGCGACGCAGGGGAACGAACAGTGACACAGGCATAAAAACTCGGAGCTCCGCGCGGACTTCTCGGAGCGGCGCCCGATTCCCCTGGCGGCGCCGTCCGGCGCCGCCCCTCTGCTTCGCCCCGCGCGCCAGGCAGGGGGACCCAGCGCCGATCCGAGAAATCCGCGCCGACGTCCGAGTTGTTTGATATGCGGATGTCCTCCTTCGCTCCCCTATATAATCCAGGACCCCCTCAGGGCCGAGCTGCCCCGAGGCGCCCCAGGAAGTCCCCCGACCCTTCTCCGAGGCGCGCGGTTCCTCACCCCCCGGGTCGTGACCTGGTGACGGCCCCAGCAGGGGCCCGGCGAAGGCCGCTGGATGGGGAACCAGGAGGTAGCGATACCGCTACTCTCGGGTCGGGCGAAAGGGGGGGATAGCAAAGGGGGGGTTTGAGAATCAGCTCACGTAGCTGATTTTCCCGGCGCCTCCCGGCGCCGGGAGGCGCCCAGGTATCGAGGAATGGGCCCGGCGGCGGGGCCGAAAACAGCTGCATGCAGCAAATTTCGTAACCCCCCCTTTCCCAAACCCCCCCTTTCGCCCGGCCCGATACTCCCCAGACCTCTCCGGGGGCGTTCTGACCAGGATCTCGAGGCGAATCCAGCGGTGGCAGCGATGGCCTCCCAGGAGGTCCCAAAGAGGAAACACTAGGGAGGGGTAGGGGTAGGGGTACCTATTCCCCCTCTGGCTTTCGGTTGGGCCTGTCCCCCTACAGGCGGATTTGGGACGAACAAAAAAAAATACCCCCGAAATGCTCCCAGAAAACATCAAACATGGTCCAAACCTCGTCCCCAGACTATTTTATGACTAGTTCTGCATATCCCCCCTGTAGACGGACAGGCCCGACTCGACTCTGGCGGGAGGCCCAACATTTTGACAGACCTCCGCATCGAAGTTCCCAATGCGCTGGCTGTCCGGCGCTCGGGACCTGGCTCGGGCCTCCGCCGGCCGAGCGGGACGACTCGGGTGCCCCATGGGACGCCGCCCTCGGCGAGGCGCGGAGGCCGGCGACGCCTCCGAGAGCTGCAGACAACTACGGGAGGGCGTCGGCCAGCGCGTGGGCCCCGAGCAGTGCGCCGCTACACCGTGGAGGTGAAGAGTGTGACGCGAGCCATGCGGTGAGAGCTGTGGTGCCGGATAACTTGTACGTGAGCTGTGGAGGTGTAGGCGAAAGCTGGGAGCCGTAAGCCATGTGGCGCAAGCTGTGTCGTGTGAGCTGGGCGGTGTGAAGTGGAGTTCACTGCTATGGGGTGCAGGCTATGCGACGTCAGCTGCGTTGTGGGATCTATGCGGTGCAAGCTTCTCGCGGTGCACGCGGCAATAGCTGCAGCGGGCGGCAGCGTGGCGAAGCCTCGCCGGGCCCAACCAGCACACGAGGCGGCCACGAGGCGGCCGCGGGCGGCAGCGTGGCGAGTGCTCGCCAGACCCGCCCAGTGTCTTAGCGACAGAAGCAGGAAGCCCTATGTGCTGCACGCCGGAGATGGGCTCGGAAAGACTGGGCACGATGCCCAACAACCGACGCGGTCCAAAACCGACGGCGGCCGCTGTTGGGCGGGGCCGCCGCCTGCCTCAAGTGGGCAGCGTCCGCAGCGACGCCGACGGCGAACCCTGCGCAAGATGGAGAGGACCTGCGTTCGACCTTCGTACCCATGCTTTCCGCACACATGTCGAGCGTAGCCTTCGGTCGGGCGTGTCCCCGTACAGGCGGACTCTGGACGGAAAATAAAAAATAGTCCAACAACACTCCAAACAGTCAAAAAATAGTCCCCAAAAAATGTCCCCAGGCTATTTTTGACTGTTTTCGAATACTCCTCCTGTAGAGGGCCAGGCCCACCTTCAGCGTAGCGATAAGTGCAAGCACGGCTTTGGGGAGCTGCAGAGCGCCCCCCCGAAGTCCAGCGGGTAGGCGCGCGCGAGGGCCGCCGAGAGCGCGGGTCTGCAGCCTTCGGGCAGCACGCCGGCGCCGGACACGAGCCGCAGGACCCTGGCCGTCGGCTGCGCGCAAGGAGCCGGCCCTGCAGGCTTTATGTGCGTGAGGAGCGGCCTCTGGCAGCGCGGCCTGTCGATCGCGGCCCACGGCGCGGCAGCCCCCGATATCTCTGGCGACGCAACGCTTCGTCTACGCAATGCGCACGCCGTAGCCTGCTGACACAGAACCCGACGCGCATACCGAGACGTACCTCTGGCGCGACACGGTCGCTGGAGCGTTGGCCAGCACGTGCCGAGGCAACACGCCCCGTCTTCAACGGGACGTCTTGACCACGGCAGCGCACTGCGTTTCCACACGGGCACGTCGGGGCAACGGAGCCTGCGAGGTGGACTTTTCAATGCCAGGGCGTCTGGGACCCGCCAGCGGGCCCGTGGAGCCCCCAGGCATGGACCCAGGGCGGGAGCCCGTCCCTGCGGGAAGGGGTCGGGACCTGCGGGGCCGCGCAGCGAGAAGAAGCACATCGCCGGGTGTCTGGGGTGCGGCCTGCGTGCGTGCTCGGCCTCGCCCCCCCTCCCCCCCTTCCCTTGACCCCTTCCGGGAGGGCTAGAAAACCTTGGCGCGTCTGAATTCCTGTCGAGGTTTATACATCCAGATCGGTCGGTAGGTCTGGATGGCCATCTGGTAGCACTCTGGAAAGTCAGGGCTGCGCCCCCCCGAAAGCCGCGCGCCCAGGGCCCTGAACCAGACATCCGACGCCATGACCTCTCTACAGCGTGGCTCCCACGGGTCAACGCCCCTTCCCAAGGGACGGGCTCTTCACCAAGAGTTGCTGTTTGCCGGCCTCTGGGCCGGGCGAGGGCCCCCGAGGGCGGAGAATTATCAACAACCTTCCGTCGTGAGCTCCTCTCGACGCGAGGATGTCCGGGGCAGGGGTGGGAACCTCTGGGTCCGCGCATGGGCAAACATTCAACCATCGGGCGTCTGGGGTGGCGGCCTGCGCGCGCTCGGGCTTGCCCCGCACCCTCCCCACCCCCCACACGCACACCTGTGCCCCCCCGAAAACCGCGCGCGCCACCAGAGGCCACTCCCATGAGAGGTCGCCCTCACGGGGGCAAGCAGAGAGATACCGACACCGCAGTGCTCTCCGGACCTCTCCTGGGGCGCGCCCTGGCCAGAACCCCGAGGCGAATCCTGCCGCGGCGACGAGGTGCGGGCGACGGTGTCGGTACTTTTTCCTCCTCTGCCTTGCGCTTAGGTCGGGCATGTCCCCCTGCAGGCTCTTTGAGCGAAAAATGCAAACAAACACCCAAAAATCCAAAAAAAAAAAAAAAAAAAAAAAAAAAAAAATGGTAGAAAACTCGTCTCCAAACTATTTTTTATACTACTTTTTAAATTCCCCCTGTATCGGCGGCGGACAGACCTCCCTTTAGTAAACCTCCTTTGTGAAAACGGCCTGGGACCGAAACTAACGGACCTGGACCCGCCAAAATGACGGCCGCGACGCCCTCTCGCGAACCGAAAACGGCCAATTCGCTAATCGACGTGTCAGGGTCGGAGGTCTGTCCACCCCCGAAAAAAGACGCCCCAAAATACAAAAAAACAAAAATGGTAGAAAACTCGTCTCCAGACTATTGTTTAGACTATTCGTGAAAATTCCCCCTGTAGAGAAAGCGCGCCCGACTCGACCTTGCGCGCAGCCGGCCTGAGGAGGGCGTCGTGGGACAGCACGGGCGGTCGCGCCCCCGGGGGCAAGGCCTCCGCCAGCGCCTGTGGATGGGGAACGAGATGGGGGGGTGGGGGGGGGGCAGCTCGGGGGGGGACCTTTGGGTGACCCAAAAAAGGGTCCAGCTCCTCCTGCCTCCTTCTCCTCCTCCTCCTCCTCCTCCTCCCTCCTCCTCCTCCTCCTCCTTCTCCTTCTCGGCCTCCTCCTCCTCCTCCTCCCTCCCTCCTCCTCCTCCCTCCTCCCTCCTCCCTCCCTATCTCGGGGGGGGGGGGGGGGGGCAGCTCGGGGTGGGGGGAAACTCTGGGTGACCCAATAAGGGGTCCAGCTGAGGGGGGGGGTGCCATAGATTTGGGGCAATTGGACTGCAAATGTACTGCGCCGGAGAACTGTATTGCATCGTATTGGAGGTAATGCCTTGCACGCGAAAATCCAGCAACACATGTGCGCCCTGGAATGCATTGCGCGCCCCTGATGAATTGCAGGCCCACAACTCTATTGCACCAGATCTGTTGCACCACCCCCTTGTCGCTGGACCACCTTTTGGGTCAACCCGAGAACCTCGGCTTGGAAATGACGGCACCTCGCCGATAGAGCGGCGAGAGGCCCCCGAGAGCACAACCGCACGTTCTCCTGGGCGGTGTTTGGGCCCTCGGGCCCCGATCGGCGATGAGTGGGCGCCTGGAGGCCCACTCATCGCAGGAGGCTTCCTCCAGTAGAGGAGGAGGAGGAGAGGAGGAGGAGGAGGAGGAGGAGGAGGAGGAGGAGGAGGCGGAGGAGGAGGAGGAGGAGGAGGAGGAGGAGGAGGAGGAGGAGGAGGAGGAGGAGGAGGAGGAGGAGGAGGAGGGGAGGAGGAGGAGGAGGAAGGAGGAGGAGGAGGAGGAGGAGGAGGGAGGAGGAGGAGGAGGAGGAGGAGGAGGAGGAGGAGGAGGAGGAGGAGGAGGAGGAGGGGGAGGAGGAGGGCAGGAGGAGGAGGAGGAGGAGGAGGAGGGAGAGAGGAAGGGGGAGGAGGTGGGGGAGGGGGGAGGAGAGGAGGAGGAGAGGAGGAGGAGGAGGAGGAGGAGGAGGAGGAGGAGGAGAGCAGGCAGGAGGAGGAGGGAGGGAGGAGGAGGAGGAGGAGGAGGAGGAGGAGGAGGAGGAGGAGGAGGAGGAGGAGGGGGAGGAGGCAGGAGGAGGAGGAGGAGGAAGAGGAGGAGGTAAAAGGTAAAGGTAAAGGCGCTTAGGGGGCGGTTCCCAAGTCCACTTGGAAAATGGCTGATGCCCCTGCGAGAATTTACGGATGCAGGGCCGCACGTTGCCGCGAGGCCTGCCGGCCACGCGTGCTGCTGGCTCATGGCGCTCCCAGCCTAAGACACGCACGTGATCGCCTGCCAGGAAGCACGGGCGGCGCTGGCGGGGGGAGCCCCCTGCAACTTGGAAGGAGGAGGAGGAGGAGGAAGACGACGACGACGACGACGACACTACGACGACGTCGAGAAGAGGAGGGCACGCAGTGCAGGCGCCGTGACTGCTGCGCGTGCACGCGTGCTGGGGGCTGCTTTGCCTTCTGTCTCGAAACCTTGGAAACTAACATCTGAAAGGAAGCCCGCCCTCCCATCCCAAACTCGCCACCCCAGTCCATCCCAACAGAAACACTACCTCGTGAGACTAGCTCTCGCCTCGGTAAGGCCAAGAGGGGCGACGCGCCAAATGCGCGCCGTCATCCCCCCCCCCCCCCCTCTGACACGCCAAATGCGTGCCGCCCCCCTCTTCTTCTGATGTTTTCTTTCGGTTCCTGGGGAGCAGGGGCACGCTCCTTTCTCCGTCTTCATGGGCTGAGGATGAAGGGAAGGAGGAGGCAAGAGAGCAACAATATTCTCGATATGATTCGTGCGTTTGCTTTGGATGTTACTTTACTCAAGCGCTAGAAAATGCAATCTCGCACTTCTGCAAAACACCATACCAATGTCTATCCACGGCTGCACCGCCAAGGAAATTTCGTTCCTCTTGTATTTAGAAAGCCCTCGTGTTTGCAACTCCCGCAAAGAAATGCCATTCGCCAGTTCCTCACTGTCTGCACACATGAAAATGTCATACACTCTGTCCATGAGCGGTCCGAAATGATGTGCAAGACGTTTCGCGGATTGATACACCAACCTCGCGCGCTGAATTGTTTCTCTGTTAGGTTTGAAGGATTGTTTCTTGATGCGATTCTTCACCAAGCAAGGTCGGCCCACGCTTATTTCATTCCCTGCGCCTGCAATCCATGCGACGTCCATCTGATTGTTCAGCTGCCCGCACCTGGGAAATAGGTAACTATCTTCTTTGATCTGAGTCGTACCGCATAGGAGTCCCACGAGCTCGTCCGTGCAAGCTTCCCACTTTGATGCTAAAGAAACCAAGCATACTTCATTAGAGGGCGAGTGTACGCGTAGTACTTCTAAGCTGTCGTCTTGCAACTCTCTTTGTAAGTCCGTGCTTGTGCCCTGGTCAATAAGACATGGTCCACTTTCACTTGTCAGTATATTCAAAGCCTCCTCCAGATATTGTATGTGATTTCCTCATTTGTCTCCGAAGTCGTGTGCGATCTGTGCCGAAGCCGGGTGGTGCGCCTGGGCGCCCGGTGCGGCCGCCGTATTCGGCAGCCGCTCCCGCCATTCCCTCCGGGCACGGAGAGGCAAGAAAGGGAGAACGGGGATACAGTTAGCGGAGTGTCGAGACAAACGTGTACGGTTCGGTAGCGAGCCCCCCCTCCCCCCCCGGCCTAGTGCAGTCGGGCGGCCCGGAAGTCCTGGCGGGGATGAAACTTGTACCCTCCTGGCGGGTCGGCAAGGTTTCGGGCCTTCCCACGCCGACTAAGAGGAGGAGGAGGAGGAGGAGGAGGAGGAGGAGGAGGAGGAGGAGGAGGAGGAGGAGAGGAGGAGGAGGAGGAGGAGGAGGAGGAGGAGGAGGAGGAAGAGGAGGGGGAGGAGGAGGAGGAGGATCGCCTGAGCTTCTCGCCCCCTGGTGTTGCCTCCGACCTTCTGCCTCCCAACTTCGGGCCAGGCTTCGGGCCCCCGGCGGCCTCTCTCGGGACGACCCGGACAGCCCGGGGCCCGCTCGCGGCGAGGCGCAGCTGCTGGAAGGTGAACGCTTTTTATTCGGCGTTTCGACGTTGGGCGGCAGGGGAGGGGAGGGGAGGGGTCTGGCTCGGGACCTCTGCTTACTCCAAATCCCTTCTTAATCGACCCCCCCCTAAAAAAACCGGACCCCCTCCGGGTGCGACCAAATATTCCGGACTCCCCTCGTCGACGGGGCGCCTTGATAAACCGAACCCCCGACGCTCCAATCCACAGAAAACGCCCCCCAAAAAAACAGACCCCCCCAAGTTCCCAAAAAGGCGCCTCAAAAAACCGGACCCGGGGGAGGATTAATAAGAGATTTGAAGTAGTGCGACTGCTTGTAAGAGTGCGGCCCCTGGGGGAGACACAACCCGCTCGAAACAGGCGCCCCAAACAGCCAAGATCTACTCCAAGGGGGGGGGGGAGGAGGGGGGTTTTGGGGCCCGCGCCGATCAGCAAAACAAGGAATAAACAAACGATCACAAGGCAACACCGAGGCTGGAAAACCTGCCGAACAGATGCGAAAACGCCCAAAAGCCTTGAACCTCGAACGCCCAAAGACCTCGAACCTCCTCCCTGAGCCTATCCCCACATGACGTTGCCCCCGAAAATGGTGGTCGGACATCGGGCCCTGGACCTCTACTGGGGTGCGTTCTGACCAGAATATTTCGCGGATCCAGCCATGGCCACGAGGGCGCCCCATGATGATCAGAGGCGTCCGGAGAGCGAACCTCGAACCTCGAAGCTCGAACTTCGATCCCCCTGACGTTGCCCCCCCCCCCCTGACGTCGCATCGGCGATGCATCGGCGGCGTCGGCGTGGAGAAAGTCAGGCTCCAAATCGAGCCGCGTCGGATGCATCGGCGATGCGGGGAGATCCCCCGCCCCCAGCATCTCTGGCCCCACGCGGGGGGCCTGTACTACAGCCGGACCCAGAACAAAGGAGCATCCTTCGAGAGCATGAGGCCCTCCGCTGGCCGAGCTGATGTATATATATATATATATATATATATATATATATATAATACATTCGAGGGTGCCTTTCCCGAGGATGCGCCAGAACGTCCAACAAACACGAAGAACATCCGGTTACCCTCCCCAAAACGACCTCGATCGTATACCTGGGTTCAGAGCCCCAGAATCATCAGGGGTAACTCGGGTCAGGGCTGACTCGGGCTCGCTTTTCGGGAATCCGAACCCGAGTTGACCCGGGCCCCGAGTTACCCCGGATAACTCGGGCGTCCAGAGCCCCAAAATCATCAGGGGTAACCCGGGTCAGGGCTAACTCGGGCTCGTTTTTCGGGAATCCGAGCCCGAGTTACCCCGGGCCCGAGTTACTCCGGATAACTCGGGCACCCAATTGGTCCGACTGTATCCCCTCCTCTCCCTGGTTTCGGGGATCGTCTGACCGGGGTCAATCCAGACCCGGGTCAGTCAGGCCCTGCAGAATCCTGCAACGGAAGATCCTGCACTCAAGCCCGGACCAATATTGCGAAAGATCCTACAAAATCCTTCAGGATCCCGCACCCAGATCCGGGTCAGTGCGACCCTGGCCCTGCCAGATCCTGCAAGATCCGGCGCTCATGCTGACCCCCGTTTGCATTGACCCCGTCTCAAGATGCACGATTTTCCCTTGGGCCCGTAGGCGACCCGAGGAGGAGGAGGAGGAGGAGGAGGAGAAGGAGGAGGAGGAGGAGAAGAAGGAGGAGGAGGAGGAGGAGGGGGAGGGAGAGGACCCCCCTCTGCCCCCCTCTGCCACGCCCATTGTCGACAGGGAATGCTCGAAAAAGTTCCCTGGAGATCCGACGGCGCGAATACATGGCAACAGCGTGCAAAGTCACGAGTGGAGCTCGTTATCCTGCGCCAATTTTCGAGCCGAACCGACCTGTGAGGGCCCCGGGGCCCGAAATCGGGCGAAGACGCCCGGCTCGACAAGGTTGAGACGCCGGGATCTCTGGGTCTCCTGCACACAAAACTATCTGACATCGGACACCAGACATCTGACATCGGCCTGGCAGTCCAGGTGCCGCGGGGGCGCTGCAGGTGGGCGCCGGGGCGCCGCTCTGAGTGACAATGACTGGCGGTGAAACAGAAGCACCAGCGAACGAGAAAGAGAGAAAGAGAGAGAGAGAGAGAGACAGAGAGAGAGAGAGGGAGAGCGAGACAAGTAATCATCTCGGCCCTGGCCTTCCAGAGTGGCAGAAAATAGCCTCCGAGACCTGCAGACCTGCCTGGCCTGCCTAAGGCCTCGACAAGACTGTAGACGTCAAAGCTCTGGTGCCGTTTTTGTTGGCCCGCCTGGCAGGCCAGGGAAGTTGGGCGCCCCTTCGCCTCCGCGGCCGCCTCGCCCCCGAGGGCGTGCGCGTTGAGGGCCCGCTGCGCCGCGGCCAGGCGGCGGAGCAGGGCCTCGGGGACCGAGGCGCCCAGCGGCCGCAGCTGCGAGGGCGCGGCCAGCAGGGGCGGCGAGACGACGCGGGCCTCGCGCGCGGGCAGGATGTTTTGTGTTGTGGCCACGGGGCTCGCTTACGCTGGTAAGAGCGTGTTGTGGCTTGTCGGCTCCCTCGTCGGCTCCTCCTCCCCTCCCTTCTCCTTCGTGGTCGCCACGGGGCTCGCTCGCGCTGGTAAGAACGTGCTGTGGCCTGTCGGCTCCCTCGCGGGGCCCGAGCCCCTGGCTCTCAACGCCTCTCAGGCGGCTCGCTCCATGCCACTCCGCCGCGCGCGCCCGTGGCCGGGGCTGCACACCCGCCCTGCACAGTCCCGAGCAGTGCCGCCGCCGCTGCATCCAGCATGCACCGCTCCACAGTGGACCGCTGCGACGTGTGCGGGCAAGACTGAAGGGGCCCAGGGACGCACAAATAAATGAATAGAACCAGATCTCAAGAATCCCCATAATCTTCCACATTTCCTGGATTGTCGTTCTCCCCTAAACTTCCCGAATTGTCCTGGGAGTCGACGGTTACTTATCTCTGTGAGTTCTCCCCTCCTGAAAGACTTGTGTCCGTATCCACTGCAGCTTGGAGTTTCGGGCTCTCTTCTCTAGACGCCCGAGTCGCACTGGATATGGGTAAAAGATCTGGCCCCCTAAAGGCTAGATTTTTATCCGTATCCAGGGCACCTCGGCTTTGCGATACCCCTTCCAAGAAAGTCCAAGACTCACTGGATCTGGATGTGAATATTGCCCGTATCGTGGGAGGAGGGGGGGAGGGGAGGATGGGGATTCTAAAGGATTTGTCGGGGGGGAGAGGAAGAACAGGGAGCGCGAACACTGACTGTCATCAGCTGTGCAAATCAAAAGGTCACCAAGCAGACCCGGAACAACACACGAGCCGAACTGCAATAAGCAAGCGCATGCGCTGAACCGTGACCTGAATGACGAGCGAGCGTGCCGCATGCAAAAATAGAGGGACAGGGTACTACAAGATTCTCCAAGGCAAACCTTCGGATATTCGATGCACGAATTCCGGCGGCGATAGAAAGAGCGCCCCTGCCCCAAGGCCTGTCCTGGGCGACTAGGCTTGATCTACAAAGTTGCAGCTGACGGCGTGAGGTCCCAGCTAGGGGTGAGGAGGAGGACAAAGAGGAAGGCGAGGACAAGCTAGGTGCGCCCCCACCACATCTGACAGCCGCCAGCCTATCCCTCCCTCCCATCCCTTCCTATTGCGCTGGTGGTTTTCAATCTGCGGACGCGTGCCGTAGCCGAGCTGAAACTCTAAAAAAGGCCCCATCGTATGATGCGCGACCAGACACCAGGACCTGCGTAACTACTCAGGGCGAGGAGGAGAGAGAGGAGGGGGAAAGAGTGAAGAATGAGGGGGAGGAGCATGAGGAGAACTTGGGGGAGGAGCAAAGAGGAGGAGAGAGGAAAAGGGGTGGTGATGATGATGACGACGACGACGAAGACGGTGATGATGAGCATGACGAGGACGATGATGATGCTGATGATGGCGAGGAGGATGATAACGACGACGACGACGACGACGACAATGATGACGACGACGAGGAGAAGGAAAATGATGATGATGAAGAGGAAGAGGAAGAGGAAGAGGAAGAGGAAGATGAGGATGATGATGATGATGATGATGATGATGATGATCATGACGATGACGATGACGATGACGATGATGATGATGATGATGATGATGATGATGATGATGATGATGATGATGATGATGACGATGATGATGTTGACGACGACGACGACGCGAAGGAGGATGATGGGAGACGACACGCGGTTGGGGGTCCGCACATCGTGGTCCGAGGCGCGTGCGCGGCCAAGGGAAAACCTGGGGGAGCGTGGAGATGCGAAGACGGGCCACTCCAATTCCCAGATGGCTCCTTAGAGCTAAGAAGAGGGCTGTGAGATTAGAAGCCGGAGCCGCAGGGTAGCCCCGGAGATCGTTTCGGCGGCGGTCCAGGCTCCCCGGCGCGACTTGCTCGAGCCGGCAACGGGTCCCGAAAGAACCTTTCTAAGCGTTTCCGGACCTTCTTCAGAAGGTCCTTCGGAAGCTCTCTCCAGGTCCTTCCTGAGGGCTTTGCCTGGCCTTTCCACGCCCTTCAGGCGCCCTGCTATCCGGGTTTTGGACTACACAAGCTGAAATGCTCCTCACGGTACTCGCACCCGGCTCTTTTCCAAAGGACAAAACACGCGACGCCGAACAAAAAAAATACGAGTCTGCATGACGACAGGAAGACAGAGAAACGGCACGCATGCGGCAAGCGTTGCGACAAGCAGGTCACGGACGCGCGTCAATGTTGCGAGGATCTCGTGGCAATCGGGGCGGGGGGCATGCGCCAACCAAAAAAATCAACCCGGCGGCAAAACGGCAACAATGATGTTGATATGATGTCTGTAGCAGGCAGGCCCGTCCTGGTCATTTCGTATGTAAGGGAAAGTCTTTCTCCTAAGATTGGGCACTTGGCCCCCGAACTACAACAACAGCGGTTCCCGCCTGATAATTCGTGAGGATGCGGGCGGATACCGTGGGGCCCTTCGGACGACGCTGGCCTCGTGAGGCGCTTCAGACACCCGTCGTATCGAACACGTCACCACGGAGAGTGCTGGACGAATCTCGCATTTGTGTCCCGAGGAAGCTCCTCATCGCGACGGATGGGTCTGCCTCTAGATTCAGGCCAGAACGAACCCTGCAAGAGGTCCAGAGATCGACTCTTGAGCCCCAAGCCCTGACATGCTCGCGTCGTGACAATCTCACGACGGAACATGTTTGACAATTTTCGGCCTCGAAGAAGCGCTTCGGACATCAGTCGTGTTGAACATTTCAACACGCACGTGTTTTCTCTGATTTCCCTGCGATCTGGGCGTTGCAATTTTGCCACACGCGTTTTCGCCCGGTTTCGGGACCCCGGACCATCGTCGATCTGTCTTGAAGAATGCTGCCTCTGGTCGTGATTGCAGCGATGTTGCAAGTGGTTCTAATCGAATCTCGGGGCTTCTGACATCCAACATATTGAAAAGTTCAATGCGTCGGGTTGCGCTGATTTCGGTCTCTACAGGGGACCTCGCTGGAACCAAGGGCCGTCAAAAAACAACTCACGATGAGAAGCCAGCGCTCGGGGAAAGGTCGGGATTTAGGGGGAGCTCGAATTAAAAATCAAGACATCCCGAGTGTCGTGGTCCCGCAGGCCTCCTGAGGAGACTCATGGCGGCCTCGGGGGCCACGTTGAGGGAAGGGGCTCGAAACGTGAGTTCCAGGTCGCCCCTGAGGCGGCTTCTTTTCCCGACATCCGACAGCAGATCCTTTCTCAACGTATTCAAACTTTGGCTGAGGGTCTTTCGACTTGCTCTAAAAAGAAGCTGGTGGGTGTGGGGTCCTTCGTCAAAGGCGGCCTCGCCGTTGCCTGGGGGGTGCCCGGGGTTGGCCCGGGTTGCCCGGGGTTCCCCCGGCAGCCGCCGGCGCGGCGTTGCCTGATTTTGCTCGAGATTGCCTTGGGGGTCCTAGGGTCGCCCGTGCTATGCTGTGCAACGCCGTGCAGCGATCCCAAGCAATGCCAAGCAAAATCAAGCAACGGCAAGCAATACCACCCAACGGTTCTAAGAAACGCCAAGCACTGATAACAAATTCCAAGCAGTGCAAAAACAAGGCCAAGAGATGGCAAGCAATGCCAAACAATGCAAAACTATGGAAGGAAAACCAATTTCCAATCAACGCTGCATTGATTTGCATTGCTCAGGATTGCTTTGAACTGCTGACCCCAAGGGTCCCGACCCCTTCCCTGGGGGTGTCTTCCCTCCCGGGTCCATTGTTCATGGCCCCAGAGCCCGACGACGCGCCCCACAGGCCGAAAGTTCGAAAAAACGCGCGGATCGAAGACGTCGCATCGCCCGGAGATCTGGGTCTGGGCCCCTCTTGGAGCCATCTCGGGAACCAGCCGTTTCGTGCCGCGACATCGGACTGGCACAGTTCGGGGGGGACGCATCGACCTGGAATCGGCGCTGCATTGCCGATAGAACGGCGATCGCAACTCCGCAGGTTCCTGGGCAGATCTGGGGCTGTCGGGCCCCCATCGGCGATGAGTGGACGACTGAGAATCGATGCATCCCCCCCTGGGCCAGTTCCCCCCCCCCATCGTTGCCGCTGGCTTGGGGGCCTGGAAGCGCGAGCGCAGCGGTGGGTCCAGAGGGTTGCCCACGAAGGGCGGGCAGGGCAGCGCCAGCGCGATGACGCGGAAGTCGGGGTGCACTCTCGCCAGCCTTGGGCGTCCCAAAACGGCGTGGCGGCAGACCGCGCGGTGGCAAGCAAAGCGGCACACGCAGGAGCTTTCGGAGGTCCGCGCGGACCGCCGAGGAGGTACTCTGTCGATGCAGCTTTTTGCCCTTCGACGTCCCCAGACGACCTCACCGCACGGCCCGTCACCGCACGGCTCTGGGACCCTGGCGGCCCTGGCCGCCCCAAGACATCCTCGGCCCAACGCCGTGCGGTCGACCCGGATCACTGCTGTTAGGTCGGGCGTGTCCCCGTACAGACGGAGCTTGGACGAAACATTGAAAAATAATCAGCCAAACGCTACTCCAACATGCTTTTTAATGGAAAAATCGTCCCCAGACTTTTTTAACATACTATTTTTGAATATTCCTCGTGTGGAGGGACACGCCCGACTTAACACTACTGTTAAGTCGGGCGTGTCACCCTACGGATTTTCGACGACGAAAAATCAAAAATACCCCAAGAATGCCCCAAAAAGGTTAAAACATACTCACAAAATAGTCCCCAGACTATTTTTGGACTATTCTTGGATTATTTTTGGGGTATCTTTGGTTTTTCGTCGAAAATCCCCCTGTAGGGAGACAGGCCCGACCGCACCGTCTGGGGCCCCCGGCAGCCGAGCCCCGCCGCGCCCGAAGGCCTCGGACCTCTCCCGGGCCGCGCTCGGGCAAGAACCTCGAGGCGGAGCCGGCAGGGGCGGATGCTTGCGAGAGTTCACCAGACCTCCCCGAGGGCCACGCCTCCCCACCAACGCAGGACATGGGGCGCGACACGCGGGACGCGAGGGGCACCCTTGCCTTGGATGGGCCGACCTTGGAGGCCTGGAAATGGGCACCAACACCAACACAGGCGGTTGCCTCCACGGGGGGAAGATGGTCCCAGATCTCGGCGTGGGTGGTAATACGTCGGCCACCTCGGAAGCCAGAAAGTTGGCGCCATCGCTGAGATCGGGATCTTCTTCCCCTCGGTGGAGGCACGCCGCCGACATTGGTGGTGGTGCCCACCTATAGGCCTGCGACGACCCCCATACACCCTGCGAGATGCTTAAGAAATCATGGGTTAAGAAATTCATAGTCTCAGAACTTGACTAAAAACCCAACATGTCCATGAAACTCTTAAGATTTACATTGAAACGTTAAGAATAATCGAGACTCTGGCCGAAAGCTTAAGTTTTCTTAAGCATCGCCTGAGGTGTACTTACTCGACTGCGACTTCGCGCTGGGACTTCCGGACCGCCCGCCTGCCGAGCCCCGCCGCGCCGGCAGCGCCCGCCGCGGACGCCAGGGCGTCGTAGCGCCGCGCGGGCACCAGGAAGCGCCCGTCGTCCAGGGCCATCTCCCGGTTCTCCAGCAGGTTGTTGAGGGCCGGGCAGTGCCAGAGGGAGGCCGCCGCCCTGGAACTTCCGGCGCAGACGGCGCAGTATGTGTATATATATATACACACATATATATATATATGTATGTATGTATGTATGTATGTATGTATGTATGTATGTATGTATGTATGTATGTAAGTATGTATGTATGTATGTATGTATGTATGTATGTATGTGTATATATATATATAACTGACGTTTCTGACCCCTTGCGGCCTCCGGGGGCCCTCGTCGGAGCCCCCAGGGCCGTGCAAAAATTACGCGGTCGGGATGAAAAGCTGGTCCTGGACAACGGGCTGAGACCTCGGGGGTCCACGCTGTGGAAAAAACCTTGGGTATCGTTTTGCCAGTCCCCATCCCCAGAGGCGTGGCCTGGGCCCCGCTGGCCGTTTTACCCCCCTGGATGGGGATATAGGCCGTTCCTTCTGGGTTTCGGAGGGTGTATCCCCAACCCGGGGGGGGGTAATTTGGTGGGGGTCTCGAAAGAGATGGGGATGGGGATGGGGATTGGTTAAACGATACTGTAAAAATTGGCCTGGCGAAGGACCCAACCATATGCAACTGTGAATACCGAACATATAAATATCATCTTCGCCCGCGCTCCCCAAGGGGCCACGAACCGTGTGAGGGGCGTGCCGACATGCGTGGCGGGGCACACAACGCGAGCGAAGACGATTGGTCTGTGTGGGAGAAACTGAGAGCGCGTGAGTCTGATCGTCGATGAGTCTGCGCGCGCGTCAGTCTACATGCATAAATGTCGACGCCTACGTGGGCGCGCCTCTCACGAGGATCGCGCCCGCTTCCTTCCCGTTCTGCTTCTCCCTCTTTGTCCGTGCGCGCCCACGTCCAAGGCTGCGGGCGCGGCGCCGCGCGGAGTCCCCGCGACGCGCGCTGGTCGCCCCGAAGGGGTCCCGGCGACGCGCGCGGGTCGTCCGCCGCGCGGAACAAAGCGAACGAGCAGGCTGGCTCCCGCCGGGGATGCGCGACCCGAAAGCGGCCTCAACACCTCGAAAACGACGAAACACCTCCAGAAACCGACAGTCGCCGCAATGCGAACTCCGCCACTGGGCCGCCATGCGAGTTCCGCTACGGAGACCTTAGGTAGAGCTCCCTATGGGGCCACGAAACGTGTGAGGGGTGTAACAAAATGCGGTTGCGCCGCTGGGACCTTAGGTGAAGCTCCCTATGGGGCCACGAAACACGTGAGGGGTGTGCCAAAATGGGGCGGCGGCGCCATGCGAACTACGGCACTGGGACCTTAGGTGGAGCTCCCTGTGGGGCCACGAAACGTGTGGGGGGATGTCCCAAAATGGGGCGGCGGCGCCATGTGAACTTCACAACTGCGACCTTAGGTGGAGCTCCCTGTGGGGCCACGGAACGTGTGAGGGGTGTGCCACAATGGGGCGGCGGCGCCATGCGGGCTGCGCCACTGGGCCCCTAGATGGAGCTCCCTGTGGGGCCACGAAACGTGTGAGGGATGTCCCAAAATGGGGCGGCGGCGCCATGTGAACTGCACAACTGCGACCTTAGGTGGAGCTCCCTGTGGGGCCACGGGACGTGTGAGGGGTGTGCCACAATGTGGCGGCGGCGCCATGCGGGCTGCGCCACTGGGCCCCCAGATGGAGCTCCCTATGCGGCCACGAAGCGTGTGAGGGGTGTGCCAGAATGGATCGGCGGCGCCATGCGGGCTGCGCCACTGGGGCCCTAGATGGAGCTCCCTGTGGGGCCACGAAGCGTGTGAGGGGTGTGCCAAAACTGGGCGGCGGAGGACGAGGGGAGGAGGAATGCGGGGACCGTCTCTTCAAAACGAGGACCCAACCACACAGGTTGGCTGAGAAAAACCTGACGCCGAGACTCTCGGGTCGGGCGAAAGGGGGGGATAGCAAAGGGGGGGGTTGAGAATCAGCTCACGTAGCTGATTTTCCTGGCGCCTCCCCGCGCCAGAGGCGGCTGTGTATCGAGGAATAGGCCCCTCGGTGAGGCCGAAATCAGCTGCATGCAGCAAATTTCGTAACCCCGCCTCCTTTCCCAATCCCCCCCATTTCGTCCGGCCCGAGACTCTGGGGCCTGCCAGGGAGCGGACCCCCCATGGCCACGGCGGGCGCCCCCGTGAGACGCCCGACAGCGTCCACGGCCCGAGGAGGCCTCCTCATTGAGCAGGGACCGACCGCCCCGCCATTCCTAGAGAGGCCTATACCCTGTGTCCCTCGATAGTCCTGGGCCCCCGGACTACAGGTACCCCCTCCCGCACTACAGGTGCCCCCTCCCCGTACACCCCTCCCCCGGACTACAGGTCCCCCCCCCCAGACTACAGGTACCCCCCCCCCCCCCCCCCCGACTACAGGTGCCCCCACAGGACTGCATCCACGCGCGCGCTGACGCGCGAACACGCGTTCCCCCCCAGACTGCAGGCACCCCCTCCCAGACTACAGGTACCCTTCCCCGGGACTACAGGCACCCCACCCCGGACTACAGGTACCCTCCCCCCGACTACAGGTACCCCTCCCCCAGACTACAGGTACCCTCCCCGGACTACACGTACCCCCAGAACTATTGAGGGACACATAGTACCACGAAGTGTACTTAGAACCCACAACTGTTCCAATCACAAAAACAATGTGCTCATAACATAATCCCAATGTGTTCAAACAAGACAAGATCGGCCAGAAATGGTCTAAGGACATGTCGTGGAAACCGCACAAATGCTCTTAGAACAGTGCTTGGTGGGCCTATGTCTATATATATATATACATATATATATATATAGGCACGCCAGGACGCTTCGCCACTGCTTGATCCTCGGACCTCGCTCATCAACCCTCCCCGATCATCGACCTCCAGGTCAGGCCGGTGACCATCGACCCCCAGGAGAGGCCGGTGACCACCGCCAGCGGCGCTCCCCGTGGCACTGCCCGAGAGGGTCGGGAGGACGTTGCGCTCTGCCTTGGGAAGCGAAAGGACACAAAGCGGCACCACCACCGCCAGCGCGAGGAGCCTGGGGCGGCCCTTCTGTCGGGCGTTGGCAGAACTGGGTTTAGTGGAACCTGGTTTGGTGATGTGTACTGGGGGACGCCCCCCCGCCCCGTTCCACCTGACCGGAACTGCCGTCACCCGCAATTACTCCGACGGAAGGACCCCACATGAGAATCTCTTTAGCTTGCATGGGGGTATCCTCCTGCCCCTTCCCTTCTCCCACCTACTCTTGCCTCCTCGTTCTCCTCCTGTCTGCTCCTCCTCCTGCCTCAACCCCTGCCTCTTCCTCCTCTTCTTGCCTCCTCCACCTCCTCCCCCTCCCCCTCGTTATGCTTCCTCCCCCCCATTCCCCCTGCCCCTCCTGCCTCCTGCCTCCTCCTCCTGCTCTCCCTCTCCCTTCTCCTCCTCCTCCTCCTCCTCATCCCCTGTCCTCCTCCTCTCCCTCTCCCTCATCCGCTTCCTCCTCCTCCTCCTCCTCCTCCTCCTCCTCCTCCTCGTTTCCATATTCCTCCCCCCTCCTCCTCCTCCTCCTCCTCCTCCTCCTCCTCCTCCTCCTCCTGCCTCCTCCTTAGGCCTCCTGCCCCCTCCTGGGGCCTCCTGGGGCCTCTTGGGGCCTCCTGGAGCCTTCTGGGCCTTCCGGGACCTACTGGGGCCTCCTCGGGCATTCCTCCTCCTCCTTTTCCTCCTCGTCCTTCCTCCCCTCAGCCTCTTCCTCTTCCTGCTTTCCTGTCTCGTCCTGCATCATCCCTCCTCCTTTTCCTGGCAATCCTCCTCCTCCTCGTCCTCGCGCGGAACACGACCCAGAGGAAACGCACGACGTGCGTCCCAGCCGATACGCGCCGGAGGACGACCCAGAGGAAGCGCGCGCCGGAGGATGACCCGGAGGAACCACGTGAGCTGCGGGACCCATAGGAAGGCTCCCGCCTGACGCGTCCTCACAGTTCACTCACAGACGAGGGTCCCGCTTGATACTTCTTCCAATTTCAGACCTGAGGAGCCCAAAAGTGACGACAGTTACAGGAATCCGATGACCCGTTCGGATTAATAACATGATCTGCGGGCCCCATATCGAGGGGGCTCCCGCCTGAGACTTGCTCGCAATTCGCTGCCAAACGAGGCTCCCGCCTGATACTTCCTCCAAATTCAAACCTGAGGAGCCGAAAAGTGACGACAGTTACAGGAATCCGATGACCCGCTTGGATTAGCAACATGATCTGCGGGCCCCATAAGGAGGGGGCTCCCGCTTGAGACTTCCTCACAATTCACTCACAGACGAGGTGCCCGCTTGATACTTCCTCCAAATTCAGACCTGAGGATCCCAAAAGTGACGACAGTTACAAAAATCCGATGACCCGCTCGGATTAATAACGTGATCTGCGGGCCCCATAGGGAGGGGGCTCCCGCCTGAGACTTCCTCACAATTCACTCACAGACGAGGGTCCCGCTTGATACTTCTTCCAAATTCAAGCCTGAGGAGCCCAAAAGTGACGAAAGTTACAGGAATCCGATGACCCGCTCGGATTAATAACGTGATCTGCTGGCCCCATAAGGAGGGGGCTCCCGCCTGAGACTTCCTCACAATTCACTCACGGACGAGGCTCCCGCTTGATACTTCCTCCAAATTCAAACCTGAGGAGCCCAAAAGTGACGACAGTTACAAGAATCCGATGACCCGCTCGGATTAATAACATGATCTGCGGGCCCCATAGGGAGGGGGCTCCCGCCTGACGCTTCCTCACAATTCACTCACAGACGGGGGTCCCGCTTGATACTTCTTCCAAATTCAGACCTGAGGAGCCCAAAAGTGACGACAGTTACAGGAATCCGATGACCCGCTCGGATTAATAACATGATCTGCGGGCCCCATAGGGAGGGGGCTCCCGCCTGAGACTTGCTCGCAATTCACTGACAAACGAGGCTCCCGCCTGATACTTCCTCCAAATTCAAACCTGAGGAGCCAAAAGTGACGACAGTTACAAGAATCCGATGACCCGCTTGGATTAGTAACATGATCTGCGGGCCCCATAAGGAGGGGGCTCCCGCCTGAGACTTGCTCGCAATTCACTGACAAACGAGGCTCCCGCCTGATACTTCCTCTAAATTCAAACCTGAGGAGCCCAAAAGTGACGACAGTTACAGGAATCCGATGACCCGCTTGGATTAGCAACATGATCTGCGGGCCCCATAAGGAGGGGGCTCCCGCCTGAGACTTCCTCACAATTCACTCACAGACGAGGTGCCCGCTTGATACTTCCTCCAAATTCAGACAAGAGGATCCCAAAAGTGACGGCAGTTACAAAAATCCGATGACCCGCTCGGATTAATAACGTGATCTGCGGGCCCCATAGGGAGGGGGCTCCCGCCTGAGACTTCCTCACAATTCACTCACAGACGAAGGTCCCGCTTGATACTCCTTCCAAATTCAAACCTGAGGAGCCCAAAAGTGACGACAGTTACAGGAATCCGATGACCCGCTCGGATTAATAAAATGATCTGCTGGCCCCATAGGGAGGGGGCTCCCGCCTGAGACTTCCTCACAATTCACTCACGGACGAGGCTCCCGCTTGATACTTCCTCCACATTCAGACCTGAGGAGCCCAAAAGTGACGACAGTTACAAGAATCCGATGACCCGCTCGGATTAATACATGATCTGCGGGCCCCATAGGGAGGGGGCTCCCGCCTGACGCATCCTCACAATTCACTCACAGACGAGGGTCCCGCTTGATACTTCTTCCAAATTCAGACCTGAGGAGCCCAAAAGTGACGACAGTTACAAGAATCCGATGACCCGCTCGGATTAATAACATGATCTGCGGGCCCCATAGGGAGGGGGCTCCCGCCTGAGACTTGCTCGCAATTCACTGACAAACGACGCTCCCGCCTGATACTTCCTCCAAATTCAAACCTGAGGAGCTCAAAAGTGACGACAATTACAAGAATCCGATGACCCGCTTGGATTAGTAACATGATCTGCGGGCCCCATAAGGAGGGGGCTCCCGCCTGAGACTTCCTCACAATTCACTCACAGACGAGGCTCCCGCTTGATACTTCCTCCAAATTCAAACCTGAGGAGCCCAAAAGTGACGACAGTTACAGGAATCCGATGACCCGCTCGGATTAGTAACATGATCTGCGGGCCCCATAGGGAGGGGGCTCCCGCCTGAGACTTCCTCACAATTCACTCACAGACGAGGCTCCCTCTTGGTGGATGATGGTGATGGGATGATGACGACGGTGTTTGATGATGATATATGATTGCTGATGCTGATGCTGATGCTGATGCTGATGCTGATGATGATGATGATGATGATGATGATGATGATGATGATGATGATGATGATGATGATGATGATGAGTGGGGAGTGATGGTGATGGTGATGATGATGCGGAGGAGGAAGCAAAGAGAAGCAGAGGAGAGGGAGAAGGACGAGAGATCCTGCGCGGAGGGTGTGCAGAGAAAACAAGAACCCCACTTAGGATGTGGGGAAAAACACCAGCTGCCGCAGACCTGGTTTAGTGATTCTGGCCAATTTAGGGGCTCCAGGGCCCTATCACGAACCAGGTCCCCTTACCTGGGGTCCTGGCTACACCCGATTCTTGTGGTGTGGCCCCCCTGTCCCGCTCGGGACATCGTTCCAGTCTCCAGCTCGGCGAGGCCTCGTGGACCTCCTCGCTTGGGGCATGGCCCACAGGTTCCCTGAGATCCGGCGTCACGAACGGACAGCGACATCGCGAAACATCATGGCAGGAGCCTGAGACCCCACCTTTACCCTAAACCCTAAATTCTTAATCCTATAATTATTAAACCCTAAACCCTAAACCCTAGGCGGTTCTCGAGCTGGATCGATCTGTGATGGCCCCAGGGCCCGAATATCGTGTGAAGACGCCTGAGGTGGAGACTAATCTCAAAGCCCGGATCCCGGGATCAAGGAGGGATCGTGGACCTCCTCGCTTGAGGCGGCCAATCTGGTGGTGGTGTAGCTTCTCCTCCATCGCACTCAGACTCATTTGCACCGCCTTCTTGATGCTTCCGCGAGAACGAGTGAATGTATATGAACCTCGCTCTGAGACTCGCTCGCACCGCCTTCTCGATACCTCACTCTTGGCAACCGCTCTCAGACTCACTCACTCGCACAGCTTCTTCTTCTTTCGGTCGAAAATCGCGGCTCAGACCAGCTACAGAGCTGTCCCATGGAGGGAATGCGGGCGTGAATGAGAGCTCTGTTATGCAGCCTCGAGAGACCTAAGCTCTGTCTGCTACGTGAGCCATATCCGATTTACTATTGCTCAGAGCCCCGAGTCATCGGCGCTGGGGGCGGTCAGGGGTAACTACAAATTTGTGCCTCGTGGGGCCTAACCACAGTTATCCCGGACCGGAGTTATCCCGGATAATTCGAGCGAACAACTCCTGGGTCATTAGGGCTGGGGGCAGTCCGATGTAACTACAGATTCGCGCCTCGGAAGCCCAAAACGCAGTTACCCCGGACCGCAGTTATCCTGGATAATTTAGGCGTCCTGGTTGCCACCCTTCAAAGCCTTCTCGATGCCGTCCAGGATGAGGACCCGACCCTTGAGCGCGCAGCGGACAGGCGCCCCGTCCGCGTAGACGGTGCAGGTGCCGCCGGGGCCCGTGCTGAGCTCGCGCCTCTCGGGGGAGGGGCAGCGGAGACGTTTTGCTCAAAATCGCTGGCCCTGCACCCCACTGAAAGTCCATCCTCCTGACATGAGACGAAGCCAGGGCGAGGACAAATTCGGGTGAGGATGCAGCCGAACCTAGGCCAGAAGAACATCCCTCAAGAACATGAGACCCTCCGTCGGCCAAAACAAACAGAATATCCAAGGGTACCCTCCCCAGGATGCACAAGAACATCCAGCAAACACGAAGACTGGGGTACCCTCCCCGAATCGATCTCGATCTTATGCCTTGGTCCGACTGTAAATCTCGGGGAATCGTCGAGGGGGGATTCTCCAAATGTCAGGGAACGGGCCCACGGTATGCTCACGCTTCCTCCTCCCAGGGGCCATCCAGAGCGATTCTCCCCTGACCCCACCTCTGCCCCTACCCCACCTGTGACCTGACCGTCCAGGGGGGGCAGGGGGGCTAGAAAATAGCAACATAATCTTGACACCTAATGTACTGTCGAGGCTTGAAGCAGTCCAGGTGCGTCTATCGGTCTGGAGGGCCAGTCTTTAGCACTCTGGAAGGTCAGGGTACGTCCCCCCGAAAATCGAAGATTTCTGAGATCTGGCGGCTCTGGGGGAGGTCTCGGGCGCCGCGGCCTGGTCAGAGCAGAGCGTTCCAGAACGCTCTGAGAGCGTTCCGGATCGCTCTGGAACGGACTTGATCCTCGTCCTGACCCCGTCCGATGACACCCTCTCGTCGCGAACAAAAAAACACGACGGCCAGTTCCTGTTCAGTTTCCAGCCTCTGGGGCGCTCCGCCCAGCCCCCGGGCAGTCCGAAGAAAACTCGAGATGTAAAGTTCGTCCGGGGGAATGGGTCGATCCTCCTCCTCCTCTTCCTCCTCCTCCTCCTCCTCCTCCTCCTCCTCCTCCTCCTCTCTCTCCTTCTCCTCCTCAGGGGGTCCACGTTATACCATGCGAGAAAATCATGACGTCGGGGGTCTGGGTCCTGACCCACTAGTCGAGCCGTGGCGCAAGAGAAGCCTCCGGGAGGCCCAGAAGAAGGTCGAACAAACGCCAGAGGGGGGCCGCTGTCTCGGCGGGAGCCCCCCTTCCGAGCCTCTGCTTGAGGTCCGCTTCGGTGGTGTCCCTCGTCACCGTCAGCACCTTCGGGGGACCAGCTCGCAGCTTCGAGGATCGAGGTGTCAAGTTTCGCTGCTTTCTGACGCTTTCGCTGTTTGTCGGCGGCCTTCCAGTCTCGGGATGCCTTCCAGCGGCTGCGCCGCGCCGTGGGCCCCAGGGAAGTGGGAGAGGGAGGAAGAAGGGCGAGGAGGAGGAGGAGGAGGAGGAGGAGGAGGTGGAGGAGGAGGAGGAGGAGGAGGAGGAGGAGGGGAAGGAGGAGGAGGAGGAGGAGGAGGAGGAAGGAGGAGGAGGAGGAGGAGGAGGAGGAGGGGAGGAGGAGGAGGAGGAGGAGGAGGAGGAGGAGGAGGAGGAGGAGGAGGAGGAGGAGGAGGAGGAGGGTCCGTCGAACCAGAGTGCGGGCCTCTCCAAAGCTTCGACCTTTGGGCGGGCAGACCCGCATGCCTGGGCCCTGCACGCGGCCCCGCGAGGCCCCTGCCAAGCCGGCGGCTGCGCTGCACACTCGCGCCGCACGACACGGCTGGGAGGGAAGTAGAAAAAAAGGAGGAGGAGGCGGAGGCGGAGGAGGAGGAGGAGGAGGAGGAGGAGGAGGAGGAGGAGGAGGAGGAGGGGAGGAGGAGGAGGAGGAGGAGGAGGAGGAGGAGGAGGAGGAGGAGGAGGAGGAGGAGGAGGAGGAGGAGGCACGACCAGACCGAACGAGCGCGCAGAGCGACAGAAAAGAGGGGAAAAAGAGAAAGACAAAGGCCGAGGGCGCGCAACCCGACGATTAGACTGAGGACAGCCCGAGGCGCAGCCTCAGGCTACCGCAGACGAAGCCAAAAGCAGGCATCGCCTGTGGGGAAGAGGGGGCGGGGCTCGCCCCGCCACTCGCCCGAAAGGGGATCTTTACCCGCCTCAAGGCGCTTTAAATAAGTGGCGTCCTTGCTGGATGCAAAACCCTCACAGTGGCCCCACAGACGGGAACGTGGGGCCGACGGCTGGGCCCTGGCGCCGCAGCGGTGGCAGAATGCAAGGGTCTCGCCAGCAAGACTAATATGATGCCCTCTAGCACTACAGGGCCCCACAGGGCCATGAGCGGGGAGAGGGACCTCAGGGCGGGTGGCATCACGCGCAGCCCAGGAAGGCGCACCAGGACCTCCAGAGGTCCGAGGGCGCTTGCAGGGCGGGGGCCCCACAAGCACGCCAGAGCCCGCAGGCCCGACACCGCCAGACACGGAGGGCGACGCCCCCGTCCGAGGCGCCTTCGGACGCGGGCCCTCCAGGGGCCCACCCGCCCTGCGGTCCCTCACCGTCCTGGCAGGAGCGGGGGGGGGTGGCGGAGGGGGGGGCTCATGCGGGGCCAGGGAGCGTGCCTCTTTGGCGTGCCGACACGCCTCCCCCAGCTCAGCATCCAACTGATCCGGATCCTCACCCCCACCATCCACCTGAAACCCCACCCGCTTAAAGGCCAGGGACCGCTCAAGACCCTCGGTCGCGATGGGCGGCGACCTCTCTGGTCCACTTGAGGCTTCGACGCTTCGAAGCTCCAAGGAAGGGCTAGCCTCAGAAGGGGGGGGCCCGAGACGCTCCCGCACGGCCCGCCAGGGCCCTTCGGCCCAGCAAGGGCCGCAGTCGAGGAAGGCCCATGCGAAACACCCTCGAGGCCCCAGAGGGCCGCCGCCTCCGCGACCCTACAAAGACCCTTCCTCGGCCTCGCAGCACCTTTCGGCGTAACCGCGTAAGCGGAGCATCGATCACAACTGTACTTCTTACCCCTCAACCTCACTCGATGCAGGAGCTGAGGAGGGCAGGCCTGCCCGCCTGCGGGTGAACCCGCACCGCGGCGCCCGCGCCCAGCGCCGCTGCCTGCAGCGCCAGCCGCGGTCAGCTGCGCCCAGCGGCCGCGCAACTCCATGTCGCGCCTCCGTGGGGCGCCCACGCGGTCGGGTGCCACGGCGCCTTCGAAAATCATCCTGGACGAGTTTGCAATCCAGGTCGCGACCGATCTGAGCGTACAGAGCGAGTCGGTGTAGCTCTTGACAATGGCCTGGGGAAGGTCGTGCAGCTGCCGACCCCTCTTAGCCGCTTGATCTGCCAAATCGTTGCAGCGGCGATGCCATGAGTCCTCCCTGGAGTGGCCCTTGACGTACGAAAACTGAATCGGACTCTCCAGGTCTCCAGAAATGGAAAAACCTCCATGATCCTCCAACTGGTGAAATAGGCGACGCCAAAGATCCACATTCTCAAGCCTCGGGTTTAGACACCAGCGCTTGCCACGCGCCAGCCCCTCGAGCAAAGGCACGTAGTCCGTGAAGATATGGAGCGGGGCCACACCGACGGACAGCACCTGAATCACTGCGAACAACTCACCACGAGCGGACGTCTGGCGATGGCCAGGCAGCGGCCGAAATACCGCTCCGTAGTAACAAGCATCCCCAAAAAAACACGAAGCCCCAGCCCGCGCGGTCAGCAGCGCCCCAGTGGAGCAACTTCCTGCACGACCCGTCAGTGAACACCGAGCCCGTGACGACAAAATGTCCATGGGCCCGAGCTCCACGATCATAACACCAAACACCTGGGTCGTTCCTGGGCGGCAAGGCAGGAAGAAAGGAGTTGGGGTAAAGCCCACGCGAGTAGAGCAAGTCACCAGGTGGTGCCCTCCTTGCCGCGTCCAGGGTGGCCTCCGACACCGCGAGCTCCCGAATGCCATCAAACACGTGGCATTGCCGATACCTGTGGTGGGCGGTACCTTCGACACCAGGACAGTTCCTGCATTCAGGGCAGTGAGCGTAAGCGTGTCGGTGCAAGCGCTTCTGCGTGAAATGACCACCCACTACCGCAGTGCGCAACGCAGCCCGAGCCAGCGGATCCAATACCCAATGCTTGGCCTTGGGACCAGGGCAAAGCAACGCACGTATGGGACTCAACCATGCACCAGCGGGGTCCTTGTGAGACGGGTCATCAAGTTCAGGCATCACCTCAGGCCTGGCAGCCCATTGGTACCAGCCTACGATCTCATAGTCCTTGAGCGCCAGCCACTTGACCCCTGACGGGGCCCCCTCACGTAAGCCCATAGTAATACCAGCACGAGTACGGACTCGAAACGCTGGGGAGACTGTCCAGCCCAAGAAGGTCATAGACCGCGCAAAAGCACCAGCTGGGCCAGCCACTAGCTTCCAGCTCTCCTGCCAGTCAACCGAGGCCACCTTCCAGTATTGAGAGCGCCAAGCCGCCTGCATCGTAAAATGGTCAACATCCCCTGACTGAATCAACAAAGCCCAGTTGAAAACGGGTCCAACAACGGCCAAAGTCGCTGGTTGAGACTCAAAGTCCCCTTCCAACCTCGATGCAATCCAGTGCGACGCCCCTGGGGGAATGGCATGCCAGCCCAGCTTCGCCAGGGAGGTCATACGCTTGATCAGGTGCGGCCCAGCGCCCAGAATGCCCAGGCCGTAGGTAATAGCGGGGCCGACTGCTGCTTTGGGAACCTGTCTGAACTTCGCTCCAAGGTGGCTCAGCCTCTTGAAATGCCTCGCACGCTTCGATACGCACCCGACACGACCCCGAAGCACTCGAGCACGAACACTCTTGCCCGCGGCCACCTCAAGGCCCAAGACCTGCAACCAGGACCTGGCCTGAAAACCGTATCTCCGCAGAAGACGAGCCACAGCGGGGGCTACGGAGTCATCAGACGCGGTGAGGAAAGCCTTTGACTTCGCCACGGGAAGGCCGAGATCCTGTTGGGTGTCACAGAGCAAAGCCACCGCATCGGTGGCGATCCTGCACACATCCGTCCGTCTGGCCACCACTTGCAGAGTTAAGTCGTC